GAGAGGTGAGACGCTGAGTCACTGCAAACATTTAACACAAGTAAAAGTTCAAATTCACACTAATCTTAAACATTTTTACAGTACACTGTGGTTTTTAACCTTTATAGACTTTTTACAATCTTAAATAAACAACAATGAGTGGTGTGTGTAACAGCTTTAGTGATCAGGTTTAAACAGTGAGGATAGTCTGGTGCCACATCATCACTCCGCAGGCTGAGCTGCAGCCAAACACCTGGCAAAGCCTGATCACAGCACCAAAATATTATTACAAGACATGAAAATTCAAATGAATTACACAGATCGTGGCTAAATCATCCAGATAATAAACATGAATTTATTGTGGTAATAAAATGGTCCTCAACATGAACCCCTGCAGCCTAGGTTTATCTTGCTCCTGGTAAGGGGCTCACACCAAGCTGGCCATGTTTTCAGTCAGATAGGAGGAAGTGATGGAGCAGTAGGGGAGCAGAGGGGGAAAGTGAGCCTAACCTCTGAGCGGCGCCTCGGTGTCAGCAGGACCAGAGGGCTCTGATTGGGGACAACGCTCTCTAACAAGCTGCTAATTTCTACGCTTGATTGATCAGAGTGTGAATTCAGAGTGAAGGGCAAAGCAACCTGTGTGACAGCTCTCTGAACTGTGTGTCCTCACACAGCCACTTGTCACTCTCATGCATTTTAGCAATCAGCGCTCATCTGAGGTGTTCCATTATCTTTCTTCTTTGATGAATTAGGATTAGCACTTAGCTCTGAACCATGTTTGAATGGAAGAGCAGCAGCATTGCTAAGAAGGCAGAGGATTACAAGAGGCTTTTTGTGCTGTAATTTCATTTAAAATAAAAGTCTTACCTTTGTTCTGTGTGCCCAGTTAGGGTGTGCTGGGAGGTTGAGATTAGCTCAGAGAATAGAGTTTGTCACAAAGCCGATTAGCAGTTGAAACAGGGCCAACAATGCTTTTCTTGTTAGAAAATCAGCATTTTTCCTGGCAAGCGGTAGATTGTTTTCATTTCCTGCTCCAGTTTTGTGGGAAAATCTAAACAGGGCAGCAGACTGACATCTTGTTATGGTTTTCTTCTGGAACATGTGGAGCAGGCCGGTCAGATCATGGGACAGGTCATGATGAGACACAAACAGCCATGTTGTCCATTTCCACATCCTACAGGAAGGAGAGGACAGCTTCATCAGAAGGAGTTCTGCCTCTGGCTCAGTTCTGATGGTTGTCTACTGCCATCTACTGGACACTTTTACCACTGCGTTTCACAGGTGATGTCATCCAAGCTGTTCTTTGCATTTTCCAATTTGCAGTAGAAGAGAGAATTTAAACTAGATTGAAATAGAGGTGGGACCGGCAATTAGTGTTTGGGTGTGAAACTGTATCCGGCCTCATGAAACCTGATGTCTACCAGAATCCCTCCGGCTTTTCATCCTGGAAGGTTTAGTTTTAGTGTCCATCAAATGTTTCTCATTTGCTACACATTTTTTGTAAACCAAAGTGACAACACAACAACATCCTCAGGAGTTATCCTGATATATGACTGGCTGAGAGCAGTGACTCTGACCTTTTACAATTAATACCACTGCAGTTTTCAAGGAGGTTTTCCAAATATGGCCGTTCTAAAAGACATTTTAAAACAGTAAAAGAGCATATTGTTTTCATATTAATAAAAAAGAAAACACTAGAATAGCACAGTAAGAGGAAGAAATGTAAGATTTATCCCAGATTTAATCAGATGTTGAAAAATGAACAGAAGTTCAGAACTTGAGGCGTTTAAGTAATCAACCAACACAAAAAGCCAAATATGACCGCCCTCTTAATGAAACATATTACAGTGATAGAGTTATGGTTATTCAAAAATGAAAATCTATTCTGAAAACATTTCCATCTATGTTTCCCCATTTTAAATGTTTTAGCTGTTGAAGAAGAACTGACCACAAAGTCATGAAATAATCCCTTATTCTACAACTTTTGACACCTTAGAACCACTGCTGGAATTGGATTTGCTCATATTCATAATATTATTCATAATAACAGGAGCTATTATGAATAAGGCCTTAATAAAACACAAATGGTGCAAACAAGATTAAAACAAAAAGTTGCTAGCACGACATACCAGCTTAACCTGGTGGTAAGGTAAGGTAAGGTAAGGTGAAAAAGAAGGGAAATACACATCAGCTGTGTGTTGCAGATGTCAAATAACAATAATACACCTCTATCATATTCTAACAACCTTAAGGTGTCAGCCACAGAGGCACAGTGAGGTGATTGTGGATTTCTCTCCTCCTGATTGTTGATGAAGGTGGATACCTCATGTGGCAGTACGGCGTCCTCTCCTCAGAATCATCCAACCCAGTCTACCAGAATGTGTCTCCTTTGTTTCTACAACCAGCATATGAGGATAGCTTGCTCACATTTCTGTGTTCTGTCTCTTCAACATGGCCACCAGTAGGCAGAGCTGATATATGTTTTAACTGAATGGCACCCAGCTGCACAGCTTCATTGCTCATTTACTTCAGTGCAACCACTAGAGAGAGTTCTGCTTTCTGCATTTAGCTTGCAAGCAAACAGATCCCATAGACCTACTGTTAATACAACTTCCTGTAGCAGCTATGAAAACACTGATGTGGTTCCAGACGTGTCATCAATTATTTCAGGTTTGAAAAAAAATCTGCACACTTAAAAAAACAAACAGCTGAGTGATTCAATATAAAGATTCATGATAAATGGTTAAGTTATAGAGTACAAATAATAAAAAAAGAAAAGACAATTACAGTTTTAGGTTCTATTCTGGGCTAATTTTAGTTGGAAAGTTTAGTCTTTAATCAGATTAGGGAGGTTGCCCCGATTCTTGTGAATCCAACTAAGAAAAGGGAAAACTTCAAGATGAAGCTCAAATCATCTCTTCCATCCATCATAATGATCAACTGTCGGAGCTCTGTCTCTGACTGTACAACCAGATTTAAAGAATTAAAAATTTAAAGAAGAGCGGCAAAAACAAATGAGGTGGATCAGCAGAGCTGATCCAGCATCCAGGACATGCTACTGTGGGATATTGTTGGAATATTAAAAGCGTGTGTTGTCTAACAGTACAACTTTGTTCCTGTTAAATAAACTTCCTTTAGTTTTAAATTTCATCAATCAGTTTTCAATATTACCTTGTCTAAAATTTTATTTTGTTGTTAGTTCACATTTTTAATTCAAATTCAATTTACAATAAAAAAAAAAGCCAAATATTTAGGCATAAAAAAGCAGAAACTATCTGTTAAACTTAGATTTGAATGTTAAAATGTAGTGTTTAAATGAATTTTAAAGAGTTGGTTGAAAACAGACAGCAGTATGGTGGAACACAATGGAAACATTAGGCACCAACAGTTCAAAGTATATGACGGCACATTAGGGCTGTAGTAGACAGAAAAAAAGGAGTAAAAATGTTCAACTTTAGAAAATCTGAACGTTTTTTCTAGAAAACAAAAAGATTAATCTCAAAATTTCTGAGTTTTCTGACAGAAATTTACTCATTTTTTGTTTTTCCTATCAACAATGGCCCCAACATGTCGATGTAAAAGACTTTTTGGTCTGTATTCAACATAAAGATTCATGATTAATGATTAAGTTATAGAGTACAAATACAAAAAAAATTGTATTTGTACTCTAACTTATGCAAGGAGTCCTCAGCTCCTCCTTGCATAAGTTGCCTAAAGGTTGCAACTTAAAGTCAAAGTGTCAGACAGCAGACCTTCAGTCACATCAGGACATGCTGATACTTCCTCATGAAACTGATGTAGAATTAATTATCAGTGTTCTTAAAACTCATACCAAATATTAATTTGCCTAACGTGTTTATATAGCTGTAAGCTGAATCTGGAATGAACCCCATGGTTTTCTTTGTTTTAATTGACTTTTACTGAATTCATGTCACTTTGCTGTTTTAATTGTCCTCAACACACACACACACACACACACACAAAAACACACAACACAGTTGGGCAAAACAACCAAGATTTTATTGCCATTGTGCGTGAACTTTGACACTGCAGGTTACACAAGGAAGTATCATGTAGTGAGTTGAGGAACACCCTTGCCTGCCGGTGATGTGCTCTGGTCACTCGCAGTGCTGGTCTTGGAGATGGCTTAGCAACAAGCTGCTTGCTGATCCAGCCTCCGAACTCAACACCAAAGCAATGCAACATGTCAAAGAACGGGCAACATCCTGGATGACAACACCTTTGTTTTTCTGTTTGTTTTTCCCTCAAATTATTGCACACACTTGTTTACCCATGTCAAGCATATGTGGGATACTGGGAAAGCTAAAGCTCTTGGTAAGGTGCTGAAATGTCCTTATAAACTACAACACTGCATTGAGCCTCTTCGAAAGCCACATGTATACAAAATAGGAATGAAACATCAATGCAGGGAGTCAACAAGCATACCAGATAGTAAAATAAATGCAGGTTATGATTCACTCTTGTACAGAATAAATAAGATGCTGAGAGGGTTTGGTTGCTTGGTGGCAGCGTCACTGCGGTAACAGACAGACGGTGAGAGGGAGGCAGGCCAGCGGGTTCCTTTCATCTGATGAAGGCGCTGCTGCATCTGCAGCCAATCATCTCTCACATCTCCATGTTACGATTTCACAGCGATGGAATCCAACGGCTGAGAGGAACTTCAGGAATGAATCATCTGTATTTTGGGATGGTCAAATCTCAGGAATGTCACTCATGGATCAGGATTGTTCTGGAAATAGAATGAAGACTGGAGGTATGCTGAGTACAAACATTTATTTATTATGCCTACAGTTTATCTTAGCGGTAAAAAAGCCCAAACATGACCCGCTTTGCTTTTTTTCCTTTGTTAAATAAAGGAAATTTTGAATTAAAATTCAGTGTAAATTTTTATTTTATGTCTTTATTTAGAGTAAAAGAAATGCACTGATCAGACTCTTCCTGGATAGTTTTTAATATGTTTTATCTTAAGATAAGAGAAAAAAAAGTGTTGCAGATTTTTATATATAAATCCAGAGGAAATGCAAGCTTCTCTCTAATATATACATCACAGTTCAGTTTCCTGAACTTTATGTTTCTAACTTTAAAAAGATCAAAGGTCTGGCCTATAATAGGTGGGAATGTAGACTGAAAATAGCAGGAGGTCTTATGTTTGATGCATTTAATGAAAATTGTTTTTTTAAATCAAAATTTTCTGTCTGACCTGCTGAGTAACTGAAACTGGTCTGATTGTGATTTCTGTCAAGCTGATGGCTGCTTGTCTGGTTAAGACACAGAGGCCATTCTGTGGAATCTTAATAAACTTTATCTTGGATTAGATGGACAAAAAGGCTTTCCATACATACCAGTGGGAATTCCTCATTTATCCAGCTTGAAGATATTCTCATCAACCTCAAAAGGTTATAAAGCTGATATTAAGCTATAAATCAGAATAAATGTTTGTATATTTACACATCCAGTCTGCATTCCTGCAGGACCAACTGTCTGGGTTTGATGTGACGGCCCACCGTCAGCAGGGGGTCCACTATGCTCTGAGACACTAAAACAACCCTTGCTGCATTTTCCAAATCCTGGTGGAAACGCTTTCATCAGCACACACACCTCTGCACAGAGTGTGTGTGGTCCCTATTGTGCTCCAGCTGCGGGCTGGGAACCAGTCCGGCCCCGGAGCGGGCCCTGGGACGCTCGGAGCGATCCATCTGGGAATGGAGAGAAACTAGGAATGACATGACAGGGAATTGTTCTGCTTTGTGGAGCTGCAGATACTTTGTATGGACACACATTCCAATTTACCTGAGTATAGAATCTGATTGTGAAACACCTGAAGCCACGCCCAGATGCACACACTGTGCAGTGGCTGTGGTAACAGTTTTCTGTGGTCTAGGCTCTAATTGTGTTCTGTTGGAGTCAGGGCTTCCTGTGAACTGACAGTGTAAACAGAATCCTGAAGTGCAGCGGATTGTTCCGGTTCGTTCCGTCACAGTAAACCAGTCCAGAGGTTTCACCGAGCTGTTCCTGTCTTTCATAGAGCTATGTGTGTCTGGATATATCTGTAGATACGTTTACAGCTTATTCATACTGTGAATGTTGAAACAGAACACAACACATAATTTAATCAGAAATCTACTACCAGTTTAAAATGCATGCCCCTCCCCCCCTCCATGATGCTGGGGTGTTCCCAGGGACGCCTGGGCGAGGCCCCTCCCCCGGCGGCCCCCTGCACACGGCTCCGAGCGTCTGTCTGGGAGGAAATGAAGGGACATTGTACGTCATGCAGTGATAGGATGGGGGTGGAGGGGGTCAGCACAGAGAGACGAGGCCCTCCCGGTGGGACAGTCAGTGGTGGTGATGGCAGCCCTGCCCAGCTCTAGCTGTCTGTCTGGGGGTCTGCAGTCTCTGACAGAGACCCCGGCTCCTCTGGTGGGTCATCTGTGCTGGTGCTGGTGGAAACCTGAGTGGGGGTCCCGTAGAGCGAGGCAGCCCCCTGGCCGGCCCCGGCATTGCTGTCATCCTCCTCGGGCCCCGAGGAGGGGGCCAGCTGCAGGGAGCCGGGCAGCTTGACGGGGCAGAACGCTGAGCCCGTCGGGATGAAGTTGACCTTGTTTTTGTCGGGGCAGGAGAAGAGGGGGGCCGCTGCTGCCGCCGCCTGCCGGGAGCTGCAGGGGAACAAGCACAGTGACTGAGGGGGGAGCATTCATTAGGCAGATGAAAACGGGTGTGAAACGGGTCTGCACCTCATCTCCTCAAAGGCTTTGATCTTCTCACAGCCTTCCGGCGGCTCGCGCTTGAACATGTAGCTGTTGTTTGGTTTGGGCGAGGAGGCGAACTTTGGGAGCGGAGAGCTGCTGCCACTGTCTGAACACACACACACACACACACACACACACACACACGCACACAAGAAGAGGCCTTCATTATCCCACACCAACACAGTGGCAGCTCTGCCTGCTTCAACACCTTAGATGTCAAGGGTAGGAATGTTCAGAGAAGATTTAAAAGGTTCCACAGATTCCCAGATTCACTATGAACTTGGACATGTGTACAATTAATACAATTTAAATTCAAATTCAATTCAAAAATATTTTATACATGTTTATAAATATGTGTTTACTGAAGATATGCATTTAGAAAAATGTATATATATATATATATATATATATATATATATTATATGTATATATAAAATATATATATATATATATATATATATATATATATATATATATATATATATATA